TTAGTGCTGATTACAACTGATTACAAAAGATATCTGATGGTTAAAGTATAGTATGTTTAGTGACAATGTTATATGCTACCTAGGACATTTACATGTTATCACTAAATTACTCTGTCAGTTGTCACAATTTTGATAGTGTTGCAATTTCCCTTCAGGCCAAGACTGCCTTTGAGGCTGATATTGACTGTATCCAAGAGGTTGCTGATTTTTATAGATTTGGAATCCATTATGCCAAGGTAGTTTATAAACTTGGTCAGCTGTATTTTGTTCATACTGTGCTTTAAAGGTGTTTGTAAGGCTTCTGTGGGTGAAAGTACAATGACTACATTATTTTGTGATCAGTTATTGACTGAGCATCTATCAGACTGTGAAATGCTTAATCAGAGAGTGCCTGTAGCAAGGAATTTGTAGTTTTTCTGTTAAAAAGATTGCACTGTAAATAAAATTAACATTGCAATATATTTCTTAGCCATGTTTACTCAATCTGAATTTGATTCNGTAATATATTTTTAATTAACATTTAATTGTTAATTACTGGACATGCCCTTTCTGTTTTTACATCTCAGCAAATCAAGTAATATATATTAAATTTTCTCTAGGGTTTTATTGCTGCCATTTCTCCTTTCAACTTCACTGCTATTGGTGGAAATTTGGCCGGTACCCCTGCAATTGTGGGCAATGTTGTTCTCTGGAAGCCTGCCTCAACAGCCATCCTGGCATGTTACGGTGTTTACAAAATTTTCCAGGAGGCTGGTGTACCTGATGGTAACGTCAGTTTGATATTGAATTGATTTATTTTAAGTGTTAATGAGATCTAAATATTATGTACTTACTGTAGGTCAGTCTTGTTGGCAAATGTATGGTATGCTTACTATAGTCTGTTGAACATAATGGATTCCTCCAATATGATAAGCTGTAAATTAAACTCAACTGGTTATTTATTAACAAGTTCTTTACCAGGCATTGTCAATAACATTCAAGCCATTTTAGCTTGATTTTGAGTACTTTTACTCATAAGGAAACTAACATCTTGTCAATGTTTATCTCTGTTTTGTTTTTTTGTTGTTGTTTTTTTCATCTAGGTGTTGTAAACTTTATCCCATCCTCTGGGCAAACATTTGGTGACAGCATTACAAAGTCACCTCATTTAGCAGGAATCAACTTTACTGGCAGTGTTGAGTAAGTTAAGGAGATCATTAAGTCAGTTTTCAATAGACTATGTCATCAAGAGCTATCAAAAAAGAACATACAAGTTGAAACTTGTACCCTGTTGGGGCATTTCATGCCATGGGATTTTTTATTACTGTCATTCTGAACAAGTAAACTTATTTAATAAATCTGACTAGTAGTTATTTATTTTGTGGTTTCTAAGATTTACAACTTATATCACTTCTCAACATTTTTTCCAGAACATTTAGATATATATGGAAGAAAGTTGCGGAGAACATTGATATATACAGGTATGCTAGAGTAATCATCTTTGAAATGGAGCAACGGTCATTCAGCAAATGATACATGTAGTCTCTGGTATTAATGTCTGCTTCATTTTTTTTACAGAACCTACCCAAGGCTTGTTGGAGGTTTGTG